GGGACCTTATTCCAGGCTCCGTTAGTCCCGTTGCCCATAGCTCATGACGATGCCTCTAAGCAGCTCATTCTCGGCATTCCCTCAGCACTGGGCTACACATCAGCTCTGATTTCAGGGCTCACCTGTGAAGAGTTACACATTCCTGTCAACACAACAGAACTCCTGCTGCTTCCACTGTATTGTAAGCATTTTTACTCACATAACTAAAAAAAGAAAAGAAAACGAAGACAATATGAGGAAGCTATTGTAGCAGAAAGTGCTCAGGAGCAAAAGAGAGACAGAACTGCCTTTAAATTGTTTTTTGTGAAGGCAGAGCTGTGTCATCAGAAAAGTTGCTGGAAAATAAGGCTTTTATGGGTTCTCTGTTTTCTTCTAAGAAAGGTTTTTCCAGCTTGTTGTATCACATAGAGACTGACCTGCTCACACTGGTCCCCTGACACCTGTGGGAACAAAGAGGCTCCTTGGGGTCAGCAAGGACTGGGATGTGTGTTCCTCTCACAGCACAAGGGCACCTTCTGAGGGTTCATTTTTGCCTCTGGCTGTAGTGGTGCCCCATGTGTGACTGTGTGGGGTTGGGTGGCATAGATTGTGTGGGGACAGGTGTGTCCTTCTGCAATTCTGGGTCATGATGGCATCAGGGAGGCACCTCCTCTGTGGGGCTGATCTCTGTGTGTCCCACAAAACAGCAAACAGTACCTATGACCACATCACTCACCCCAATAAATACTCAGCCCCACAGAAAGGAGATCATGGGCCAATTGTGTGGGAGGAGAGATGCAAGAGGATGAGGGGACCTGCATGTACTTAGGAGTCACTGGGAGCTGTGATGTAGGGAGAAATGAGGGGGGTTTCAGGGAGGACCCTATGAGGATTCACTGTGCAGGAGACTCAAGTTCGAGCTTTTGCCAATAAAGAAAGTTCAACGGGATTCATGGAGCAGCCCCTTCAGGAGGGCCAGGCTCAGGACACCCGCAGGATGAGCCACCGCAGCCTGAAGGAGCCTGGACGGGGATACAGAGCAGGTAGAAGTCATGTGCGCTCACGCGGGGGAGGACGCACAGTCCAAGCGCTTGTCTAGCTCCAGGCGCCAAGAGGTAACTCTCCACGCAATGGCCGGGGCACGTGTCCAGGCCCGCAACTCCGGAGCAATCGCGAGACCAGGGGTACACGTGTCCAGGCCCGCATTTAGGGAGCTGACGCGAGAGGAGGGACAAGCACCCAGGTCCGCTGCCGGGAGCTGTCATGAGAACTAAAGTAAATGTCCAGGTCCTGTCTCAGGAGTTGTCGCGAGAGCAGGAATAAGTGTCTAGGTCCTCTCTCTCGGAGCTGTCGCGAGAGCAGAGGTGGTGCCTGGTTCGGCCGCGCCTCACAGCAGCCTGGAGCACGAGGAGCCGCTGCGAAAGGCGAAGAGAGCCGGGAGCCGCGGTGCGTGTCGGCGGCCGCTGCATCTGCCGGGAGAGTATTTCTTGTTTCCAAGAGCTCTCGATTTATCAGGGAGAGAGAAGAGAAGAGCAAACAAACAAAAAGGTATGAATGTCATCTTGAGATGAAGAGAGCGAGTCAGTCGTGACTGAGGGGGCTCCTGAGGTGACTCTGAGCACATGGAGCCAGGAGGCTGAGCCTGAAGGACGAGACCGTTGGGGTGGCGGGAAGAGGGGCGACTAGGAGCTGGGAGGTGAGGCCAGGACGGGTTTCCTGCTTTGAGGGGAGGGAATGCCGCCGCTCTGGTGGGAAAAGAAACGAGGGCGGCCGTGGGGTTAGAAACGCCTTACGTGTCCGACGTCACTGTTTCGTCCTCACGTTGCTGCAGGTGCTCAGAGACAAGGGGAATGTTCATCTTTCGAAAACCAACTCATGGGTTCCTTGGTAGTTTCTACTTCTTTTCTAGTCCTTATTTCATTTATTTCCACTGTTTTTTTTTTTTTTCTTATTTCCATGTATCTGCTAATCTTTGCCTTAGTTTTGGGTGGGTGGTTTGGTTATGTTTGGTTTGGGGTTTTTTTGGTATTTTGTATGATTTTTTGTTTTTGTTTTTAGTTCTTTGTGGTATAAAGTTATGTTGATTATCAGAATCTTTTTTTCTTAATCTCATTTGTTGTTGAACCATCTCTCTTAGAGCAAAGCCTGTGCTGACTCCCATAACTTTCGGTTTGCTGTGTTCCCACTCACGCTTGCATCTCAAGGTATTTTATTTCCATTTGGATTTCTTCTTTGACCACAGTTTGTTCTGGACTGGTTGTTCATCTCCACATATCTGTGAATTTTCCACCTTTCATGCTGTTATTGGCATCTTATTTCATATAATAACTCTGGGAAAAGAAACTTCATGTGATATCAGTGTTAAATCTGTTAAGACTTGTTTGGGGAACTTCCCTGGTGCCCCAGTGATTAGGACCTCACCTTCCAAAGCAGGGTATAGGAGTTCGATCCCTGGTCAGGGTTCTAACATTCTACATGTCTCAGGGCCAAAACCAAGACATTTTAAAAAAAACAATATTATAACAAATTCAGTAAAGACTTTTAAAAAAAAGTCCTGCTTGGGTCCTAACATGTGATGTGATCTGGTGAATGTTCTCTGTGGTCTTGAGAAGAATGTATATTTTGCTGCTCTTGGATAGGTTGATCTGGTTATGTCCATAAAGTTCAACTGTTCTAATGTGTAGCTGACTCCAACATTTCCATGTTGGTTTTCTGTCTGATGAAAGTGGGAGTATTGCAGTCCCCACTATGATTATGTTTCTCACTTTAGATACAATTTTTGCTTTATTGTTTAGATGCTCTGAGGTGAGTGAGAACTTATATAGAAGGCTTATCTTGTGCACCAGCATGATGATGACTATTGCAATCTTAATAGACTACAACATAGTATAAATATAATATTCATATGCACTGGGAAACCAAAAAATTGTGTGACCCACTATATTGTGACATTGACTTTATTGCTATGGTTTGGAACCAAACACAACTTCTCTAAATTATGTCTATATTTCTGCTGTGGACCTCACAATTTCTTTCCTTTGGGCTTAATTCGTTCTTCTTTTATAGTTCCTTGAGGTGTAAAGCTATTTTGTTTGAGATCTTTCTTCCTTTTTCATATAGTTATTTATTGCTATCAACTTAGTTCTTAATCTGCTTCCCATAATTTTTGTTATCTTGTATTTCCATTGTCATTTTCTGAAGATGTTTTTATTTATTTTTGATTTTCATTTCATCCGTGTAGTTTAATCTTCACATATTAGTGAATTATCCCATTTTTCTTTAATAATTAATTTGTAGTTTCTTATCACTGTGGTTGAAAAAGATGCCTGAAATGATTTCAGTCTTAAATATAAGACACATGGCGAATGGACCATATGCACCTAAGAATATATTTTCTGTTGCTGATGGATGGTGTGTCTGTTAAGTTCATGTAGTCTCATATATAGTTTGAGTTCAATGATTGCTTATTGATTTTTTATATGATTAATCTATTGCTGAGACTATGAAATTAATGTCCATATTATTACTGTGTGGGTGTATATTTTTCCCCTTGATTTATGTGAACAAGTCCTTAGTATATTGAGGTGCTCCAATGTTGGGCTTACAAGTATTTACAGTTGTTCTATTTTATTAATGAATTGAATCTTTCATCATTATATAATGACTTCCTTTGTCTGTTGTTACAGTTTTTGCCCTTTAGCCTGTTTTTGTCTGAGATGACTACAGTTACCGCTACTTCCTTTGGTTTTCACTTGCATGGACTATCTTTTTCCATCCCTTCTCTTTAGGTCTATGTGTGACTGAAAACTTACATTCTGCATAACATAGTCCTGTGGGACACCAATAGGCTGAGTACCCTTCACTGTTGGGGTGGGTGATTAGAGGGTCCACCCCTTCAGGGGCAGCCACAGAGGTTGGGGCATGAGATATGTGTGGACAAGTTCCTTCCAGGCACAAGATGAAGGCTTGGTTTTATTTTTTGAATCAAACCAGAGGGAGAATGTGGAAGGAGTGGCCACTTGTTCTTTCAGTCTCCTGAGAGCCTCCCAGTCAGCCGCTCAATGCAGTGCTTAAACGCCAGATTCTCAGGCAGTAGCCAGGCGAGAGTACAGTCAAACTCCAGCAGGGTGATGAGTGTTAAAGCCTATTCATGCTGCACTGATCCTGGGGATGTGGCCATGGTGGATGCTAGCAGGTCATTTCATAGCCACTTTTTAATTTTCTTAGCCCTTCGAAGCTCCACAGTGCCCATCCACACTGTCTACCAGAGCTAAGTGATTTGAGGGAGCTAATATGTGGTTCAAGTCCTTACTTCTCAGAGAAGCAAGTAGTTGAGTATTTCATTGTGATTGGAATGCACTGTGCTACAGGTGGGGTTCATGGTGAGCAGGTGTCCCAGACTTTACACATGTTTTGATGTGGGTGTTTACAAAGTCATCTGATGTGTACAAGTCATTCAGTGATTTCCTGAATTTCTTTCAAAGGAATTGATCCATGTGTAAATGTATTCACTGTGTCCATGGGAGGAGCAAACTTTCTGTGTTGCCGTCTTGGTGAAATCACTCAATACGTTCTTATAATAAGTGGGATGATCATGACTCCTAAAGTGGTAGAGTACATTCTTATCTCTGTCTTCTGTCACTTGTATACCTGATACATATTATTTAACACCTATGATGGGTCAGCAAATGTTGTTGAACTAGACAGATATGGTTCTTGAGTTCATGGACCTTACATGCAGGTGGAGAATAGGATATATAAGTAAATAGGAGTAAATAAAAAATTATAATGGTGAAACTTATAACTAATGTCAAGTGTATGTTCTCCAGGTAAAACTGATTATCTGGCATATGAGAGTGTCATTTTTCTCAAGAGAAGTTAAGAGTGAGAATCCCTTCCTAGTGTTGGTTATGTAAGAAGACTGCTCATGTCATCACCTGCACAGTTTCCTTTCTGCTCCAGGACACTCTGAAATCCTCTTCATGTCTTTTCAGAAAGATGTCCTAAGAACTGCAAGTCAGGCAGCTCTGAAAACTACCTATCTCTTACAGATGGGAGTTGGGTCTCTGGTCAATGTCATCCTTTTCTTCCACAACATCTCTCCACTCTTGTTTGGACACAAGCAGAGACCCACAGACATGATTCTCACCCACATGGCCCTGGCCAATCTCTTGGTTCTTCTCTCCTCTGGGATCCCCCACACAATGACAGCTTTTGTTTCAAGTAAGCCCCTATCCAGTCTAGGGTGTAAACTTGTATATTACGTACACAGAGTGGCTCGCGACACCACCCTGTGCTCCACCTGTGTCCTGAGCACCTATCAGTCCTTCACCCTCACCCCCAGAAGTGAAGGGAGGTCACTGCTCAGAAGAGCCCCCAGGGTCACAGATTCTTCCTGTTGGATCTGCTGGATATTCAGTGCCTTAGTGAATATTTGTGTTCCTGTGAACATCAGTGGTCCACAGGACACGCACAACTATTCTGATACTCAAGGCAGGTGGTTCTGCACGTCCTTGGGTCATATATCAGGCTTTACGTTCTTGTGGTCTGTCTCAGATGCCATATTTATTAGCCTCATGATCTGGTCCAGTGGCTCCATGGTGCTGCTTCTGCACAGACACCACCAGAAAATGAAGTATATTCATACCCGCACTGGACACCACAGATGCCCCCCAGAGACCAGAGCCACCCACACGATCCTGATGCTGGTGGTCACCTTTGTCATCTTCTATGTGCTGAATTCTATTTTTGCTTTTTGTATTAGTGCTTTTCACGATTTTCGCCTATGGTTGCTGCAGACCTCTAGTGTCTTAGTTTCATGTTTTCCCACTGTTTCCCCCTTCCTCTTGCTCCTTAGGGATCCTAGAGCACCTAGATTCTGCTCCTGAATTATTAAAATGTATTGTTAAAGTGTGAAATGTATAGTAGCTTCAGTAATGAGAGTAGTGACTCCGTTCTGTAACTGTTTCCTCAGTAATGTTTCTCCAGTATAATTAGTATATAACATAATGTCAGTTCCAGTTGTGCAGCATGATAAATGGGTATTTATATGTACTGCAAAATGATCACCACAGTGTCTATTGATATGAAGCCTGCACACCCTAAACCTGTGCTCTGCAACAAGAGAAGCCACCACAATGAGAAACATGTGCACTGCACCTAGAGAGTAGCCTCCTTCACAGCAACTACACAAAACCCATACATAGCAACAAAGACCCAGTGCAGCCAAAAATAAAATAAATAATTTTTAAAAGAAAGAAATTTATCATTAAATAAAATACAAACTCTTTATGAGGAAATCATTTCCTTGATGGCCAGTTCAGCTCTCTAGAAGAAACCTTCTTTCTTCAGTTTTTGCAAATTATTTTTTCCATATGTTGCAGCTAATACCTGATATACATTGACACATAATCTAATGTTTGTCTAGATAAATATTACTGTAGGGTGGATGGAAATTTTTATTTCATGGATGAAGATAATAAATACATAAAATGGAGGTGTTCTTCTGTATTACCATATACCTTTATTTCACTTGTATTTTCCAGTATGCTGTAGTGTTAATACAGAAAATAAATGTTGTTCATATGGGTTGCTTCTTCTTTCAACCTGAATTTTTCTTTATGTGATTGACCATCAATAAATTTGGTTGATTGAATGGATTAAGTAACATGAAGGAGGGAGTAAAAACTGTCTTTATATTTGTCACTTGAGTGTTTATTATTCATCACTGAAAATCAGAAACTTGGGTCTTAGTTTTCAGTTTTTCCTGTTTTTCCTCTTTTTTTTGCATTTTATTTGGATAGTCTAGTGTTTTGTTTTTTGCATTCCATTTGAAAAGTATGTGGTGTTATGGTATAACTACTTTTTTATTGGTTTGATTTTTGTAGCCATTGTATGAGTTCCTAAAGTATTATATTCTGCTTAGAATCACTGTTGGCCATTTTATAAAATATGTAGGAATTTCTTAGACTATACAGTTCCACACATTTTTAATGTTTTATGGTACTGTTTTTATAAATGCTTATTCTCTATACATATTATTACCCACAGTTAATACTATGGTTTTTGCTGTGATAAGATAGTTGTCTCTAATGCAACAAATGTGGTAGTACCAAGTGTTGAAAGGATATGGATCAAGAGAATTTATTTTTTTCTCTTTTTATTTTATTTTTTAAGTAAATTAATTAATTTAATTAAAGTCGACATAAATGTTATATTTGTTTCTGGTGTACAACATAGTGATTCCACATTTATTTACATTATGAGTTGATCACCACAAGGCCCATTACCACTCCTCTCTGTACAAAGTTGTTACAGTGTTGACTGTATTCCTAATGTTATATCTTAGTGACTTATTTATGTCATAACTGGAGGTTGTGCCTTAATCTGTTTCATCTGTTCATCTGTTTCATCCAACCTCCAACTTCCCTCCTTCCTGAAAACCACCAGAGTATCTGCCTCTATAAGTCTGATATTGTTTGTTTTGTTTTCTTTTGTAGACACCCCATGTAAGTGAAGTCACAATATTTGTCTTTCTTTATCTGACTTATTTCACTTAGCATAATAGGTCTAGGTTCATCCATTGTTGCAGATGGCAAAATTTCATTCTTTTTCTGGCCAAGTAATATTCCTTTGTATACCACATCTTCCTTATACATTCATCTGTTGGTAGATACTTAGATTGTTTCCATTTCTTAGCTATTGTAAATAATGCTGCAATAAACATTAAGGTGTCCATATCTTTTTGAATTATTGTTTTTGTTTTTTGGAAAAATATCCAGGATTGGAATTGCTGGATTGTATGGTAGTTCCATATCTCATTTTTTGAGGAATCTCTATTCTGCTTTTCACAGTGACCACACCAGATTACATTACAACCAACGGTGCACATGAGTTGCCTTTTCTCCACATCCTCACCAACACTTGTTATTTGTTGTCTATTTAATAATAGCTTTTCTGACAAATGTGAGGTGATATCTCATTGTGGTTTTGACTTGCATTTTCCTGATGACTAGTGATGTTGAACACTCATTATTACTGCTTTATAATATTCCATTCATTACTTATTCTAGTGCTGATGGTTATTTGAGTCTTTTCTGGCTTCTTACCATTGTAAGACATGCTGCGATGAACTTTCTTACACATGTGTTCTGATGAATATGTATAAGAGTTTCTCCTGGTTATACAGCTGATCTGCCATGAAGAATATAAATGTTTATGTGACAAAATAATGTCGCGTTATTTTTCAAAGAAGTTGAAGAAGGTTTCGCAGGCTGCATGAGATGCTGCATTTCCCCTGCTGACTTATTCAGCCCCTGATACTGGACCAGGTGTTTTGCCACAGCCAGGTGGGTTCAGCTGAGAGGTAGAAGCTCTGAGTCTGACCAGCAACACCCAATGGAAACAGACATTGGTCATAGAGGTCGATTATGATTATAAATTTACACATAGCCACATTAAAGTAAGTGTCAATTATTTTACAGTGTCAATTATTTTATGTTGTCAATCATAACTATTACCATTTCAAGTTGTAATCAGTTCTGAATAGTTCTTGACAAGATGGTTTAAAATCTCTGTCTTAATACTTTGTTGAAATTGAGTGTGTGTGCTACACCCACAGCCCCTCTCAGTTCAGATGAGCCCATTTCAGGAGCTCTGTAGCCACACAGGACTGGAGCTTCCACACTGGACAGCCCAGATCTGGACACTTTCACCAGCACCACTAGAAGTCTGGTGGTGAACCACATCCTTCATGTAACCAGCATTTCATATCTCCGAGCCAGGACCATGAGTATTATTTCTGTTTTCATCTTCATTACCTAGTACTAAGGATGGCACACAGTCGGGTCACAGTAACTCTATGTGTTTAAATGTGTGGGGGCAGATTCCAAGGATGAATAATCATTCAGCACATTAAATCATTATCATGCATATTTTCTGCAGACAGGGACTATAGTTGAATACTTTAAACAGGCAGTGGCCATCTTATCTGCCTGCCTTCTCTTCTCAAATCCATGTACCTGAACTGTGGACAAGTCTGCTGGCCACAGTGCATCAACTCACTGCAGAAGGAGCACAATGGGGACGATTAATTGTACCCCTTCTGCTCTGTGGGCTTCAGAAGAAGGAACTCAGGACTATTTCCCAGCTTAGGGAACTGGTCCCCAAGAACCAATTATAAATTGATGGTTGCTATGGTCAATTTAAAGTATTCTAATGTCCCCTCTCTATTTTTTCTAATCAGTAATAATTTTTAACCCACAAAACTCTGTGGAGATCCCAATGCAATTGTTCTTCCTGGAGTTTCTACCCTCAGACTCTACACGCTGAGCCCCCATCAACCCAAGGATAGAGTGCATGTTTTCCTACCCCAGGTCTTGTTTCCAAGGTGTTTCTTTCCATCATGAGTCTCTGCTCCCATAAGCTTTGATCCCTTCTATTCACTGTCCAAGTCTTTAGTCTTTGAGGCAGTGATGCCCCCGGTTTTCTCACCTCTTTTACAGATCCAAGAATTTTTCCTCTGTTCAGTTTTTTTTTTCTTGTTGTTAAAGCAGAGTGGTGACTTTCAAGCTCCATGCATGAAAAACCAGAAACCAGAAGTCCATGACTAATTTCTTAAGTTACATTGGGTACAGTAATTCTGATGATACATGAGTTCTCCAATGTTGACAGCTAATTCAATTGCAGCCATATTAAAATTAGTTGGACAGTCTTATAACCTCAGTGATATTTTTGCATTTTATTTTCTTAAATTAATACATTTTTACCATAGGCAGGATAATCATGAGTTCTGTGGGTGGTAGACTATATCCCTGACTCTGTCTCCTATCATATATTCATATACTCAGTACGTATTATTTAACACCTGTCAGAGATCAACCACGTTGCTGAACAAGACAGACATGATTCCCAAGTCATGGAGTTCAGTTCACTTCAGTCGCTCAGTCGTGTCCAACTCTTTGCAACCCCATGAGTTGCAGCACACCAGGCCTCCCTGTCCATCACCAACTCCCGGAGTTTACTCATACTCATGCTCATCAAGTCAGTGATGCCATCCAGCCATCTCATCCTCTGTCATCCCATTCTCCTCCTGCCCCCAATCCCTCCCAGCATCAGGGTCTTCTCCAATGAGTCAACTCTTCGCATGAGGTGGCCAAAGTGTTGGAGTTTCAGCTTCAGCATCAGTCCTTCCAATGAACACCCAGGACTTATCTCCTTCAGGATGGACTGGTTGGATCTCCTTGCAGTCCAAGGGACTCTTAAGAATCTTCTC